TAAAGCACGGCACTAGAGTCAACGACATTAATTTCTAGGTATTTTTAATCACGTCTATTTATTATTAAAATTTATATTAAATACCTTTCTGCATCGCGATACCTTTGAATCATCAAACAGTTCGTGCTCGCATAATTATCATCCTCTCGCGCGGCGGGGAAAAATCTCATTTGATCTATAAATATACAATATCGCGTTAATTGGAACGGAACCTAAACCTACCACCCCCGTGTTTTCCTGTCTTTTAATTATTTAACCTCGCGCGCGAGCGCGTGTTTGACGGGAAAAACAATTGAATGCCGAAATATAATTTATTTATTCCATTACGGATTGAATTTCCGTTTCAATGAAACTATTATTCCACTTCAAAGCAATCGCTCGTCTCGCTAAACGCGGCCGTGTGTACGCCTTTCCTAACCACACTCGTTTCTACGCCAGGCGATTATTCGTTTTAATAACCACAAGAGAGAAAAGAACAGAGGGGGAAAAAAAAATCGGTCTGGGTTGGGAATACGCGTGTTCTTTGACGAATACACGGCCGCGGCGTTGCTGCAAACACAATATAAATATTCATTGCGTATTTAGGGGAGTGCGCCGCGTGCTCGTCGAACGGGACGTTCATAAGCAGATAAATTGATTGTAAATGAATAAGTGATTACAGGCGGTGTGCGAGCGCGCGCAGCAAGTATAACGTTCGTAACAACGTAATAACGGGCATGATGCGAAATTTAAAACAATTTGCAACGATAATGCCCGTCGTAAATACTTAAAAATCAGTGAAATATCGTTCGTTCATTAAAGATAATTCGCTCGAATGTAACAAACGTTACAGACCCAAATGGTTGGGATGGTAATTTCTGTAATTAATTTTAATTTCTTTTTACACGTGTGTCAAAAATTGAAATGCAGTCTTCCATGGAACATTACTTCAGGACGTAGTGCAAAGATAATTATTATTTCAATCTAGTGAGGAGATGACGTATTTAGAATTCATTATTTTGTATCCTACTTGAGAATTATTTTGTATCCTACTTGAGAAGTTTTTCAACTTTTTTTTTGTGCCCCTTCGGTTAATATGATGTTTTTGTACTTTTTGTTGGATAATTTAGAAGATAGTTTCGCGTATCTTCTAAACAATCAACTCTACGTGACTTCGAGTCACTAGCCATTCTTTGTCATTTAAATTACCCATTCTCACAAGCATACTGGAAAATAAGTTGTCGCTAACACATTCGATAAAAAATCTTTTGACAGGGAAAATAACATAAATATACGAAATAACAGACATAGTATCTGACTGGATACAAAGTGAAGAACAAAAAGAGACCAAAAGATGTAACTTGACAGTTGTAATAATTGAGAACTGCGAAAGATAAATGCAATAAGACAAATGTTCTTTATTTTTTGTAGAAGAATAATAATTTCGAAACAAGATAAAACAAATATATTAAATATTGCAAATGTATCTATCTTGAATTGAAATCAATTAAAAAATTAATTACCCTCTTAAATATTGAAAACTATCGTTTGTCGAAAGATTTCTCCTACTACACGCAAATTACAGAAATTTTTTTATATGCAAATTCGCGTTTCTTGGAAATGACGAAAATGAAAATTTCGCTTGTCCGAGTTTTAACACCTGGGGAATACGCTTGAAAACTTCCAGAAAATCAATAAAGTATATCATATATACTGATAAATCTTTTGTGTGATTTTCAATTAACGACGAGCGGCCGTAAAGGCCGCACGAGGAAATTATTGTTTGCAAAACGCTCGAAAACGAGGCGCAACTTGGCAGTAATATCGACGCGATAATTCTTCGAGTAGAAACGACGATTTGCACAGAATTTGCTCGGGATACGAACCATTGCTGACGATGCATAACTCGATGCCGGGTGCATCGCTGCACTTCAACGGAAAGTACGATAAGATGACGGCGCTGGTTATGGGAGAGAACCGGTAAAATATCTGCTGATCGTTGCGAAAGTTTGGCAAATGGATAAAGAATATATGCTATAAAAGATAATTTAAGACGTTCTCGAGAGCGCGAGACATAACCTCGTTAATAAAACGATCGATATTTACGACCTGGCAGTACGATTGATCGAAGTTGAATTGAAGTTTGAGAAAAACTGTCGAAGAATCATTTCGATATCCGTTCAAATTTATATATTTATTCGATCAAATGACGCATTCAACATGCGTTCAATCAACTGTTATATTTAACATACTAATGTATAATATTCGATATTCATTCGATTAAGTTATATTCATTAATATTTTTGTCAATTATTTAAATTCTTTCGCTCTGTAATATTATAAAAAGTACTAGATAAATAACCTAATACACATATATATAATAATTTTTTATCAATATATGTTGCATTTTTGACGTTAGATACAGAAAATTTTTACCTTTCGTTTATGATATTTGATGACTTTTAATAATTGCATTCCATGCACTGATGTTTTTAGTTTCCCTTGATAAAAAAATAATCGATTCAAACGATTGATTATATTACATATAAGTTACAATTTTATCTCACTCGCTACGCTTTCTAAGTGAATCAGAATCATGAAAATTACTTAAAGATCTTTCGCGTTCTCACTACTTCCGATAGAACAAATAAAATCGAAGCCCGCAGCTTCTTCGAACGAACCGAAAGCGAAGAAATAATCGGGGAAACGCAACGTTTCGCTGTAATGCCCCACGGTTAATAATTTCAAACAGCCAGTCAAATATTTACTCCCGCCGTCCGCGAAATAAAAATACGCGACATCAAACACAACCGTGGAATA